GGGACACTGCAGTGTTATAATTGTGAACCAGTTGTCTGAATCACGATCATGTGACTGCAGGAACCCTGCGACAGCTACAATTACAAGAACCTGACATAAGTACCCCTCGTTCAGTGCCACTGTAACTTCGAACAATCAACAGTTGAACAAATGGACATTAAATGAGGACAACCTGTAATAATTATAGAATGCCTTTGGGTGATCCAAGGACATTTTTAAAAAATGGATATTCTTAAGTATTCAACCAAATCCTTTCCCTGGAAATGTTTCAAAGAACAAATGGCCAGTTATATAATTAAAAATAAAGTTATTTAGAGTTGCAAATATTTACAACAAAATACAGTGGTACCTTGGTACTTGACTGCTTTGAAACTCATTGAATTTGGTACTCAACACAGTTTGACATGAACATTTTTTCCAGGTATTCAGTGTTTTTTGGTATTCAATGCAGAAGCTACAACTTGTCAGTGTCAGCTGCTTTGGGACTCACTATTATTCCTTATGGGAAAATTTTATTTGGAACTTGTTGTTTTTGGTACTTATCGTGCCTCCTGGAACCAATTAAGAATGAGTACCAAGTTACCACTGTATATATATTTCACTCATTAAGGGCATCAGCTTCTAATTCATCCATCTATAAGACTTCATTACTCTATTTCCCAAGGTCAGTAATTATATCTTATGCCAATTGACCTCACATCAAACATGGAAATGCCTCTAGTCCAAACAAAAATTTCCTCTTTATTAAAAAAAAACCCTCACAGCATAGTCATAAAAACAAAAATTAAGAATATTTGCTGTAGAATTGTCCAGATATGCCTGAGATTAAATATTGAACTAGTTCATACTATTAAGTTACACCACGTGAAATCCTCTTTTCCAATAATTTAGATGACCTCTTAAAATATTTCTATTTCAAAAACCCTTTAGTTTGCTTTACTTTTTTTTCCATGTAGAGTTGTATTTGCTGTTCCTATTTATTATTAAATGTAGCACTTACCTCTCCGCTTATATAAGCATTCAAGATATATTATATACAATAGATAATATAAATTTTTAAATTTGACTGTAAAGTCAACACACTAGGTTAACTATTAAAATACTTAACAATTTACAGCTTGACAAAAGAGATATAAAAACACATTTCTTAATGGGACTCACACACCTCTCCTTAGGCAATGCATTGTGGGAACATCAGTGGAGGCACCATTAAGGGGATTATGCTGCTAGTTAAAGTAACTAAGCAGATTTATACAGACTATCCCTCAAGATAAGTTAAATGGGCTGTCACTACATTTCAAACTTGTAAACTACCTTGGAGGCTCCTTTCAAAGCTGAAAAGGGTGGCACATAAATAAATAAAATGTGTAGGAAAAAGCCCAAAATGTAAATTGAGATCTAATTCTGCAATGAAGGAGTTTTATTATCCTGTGCCAACTACTATGCTCTATGTGACAAGAAATAACACACAAGAAAATCAAAGCAGCATATACCATGCCATACGCAACCCCCTCCAGCTGCTTATCTGAATTAAAGAAAATGAACAGACCTACAGATGGCTCTCTACAGTAATCTGACAAAACAAATTATAGCCAATTTTTGGATCCATTTGGTCTTTCCAAGACAGAAAGGGAAAGAACAAATTTGGATAGACCTGAGAGAAGAGGAAAGGGTACCTGGGCATGGAAGGAAGGAAGAATAAAGAAGTCCTGTTTAAGGTTAAAATACTAAATTCATCTGATAATCAGCTTGTCCACGCAGCATTAATATTTAAAGGAATCTACGTTTTGCACCAGATTTTTTCTGTTTCTTTGTCTTGATTTTTACCAGCGAAATTAAAACTATCACTTGAAATCCCAGATAATTATTTGAGGAAATAACTGCCACCTTCTATTGGATAAAAATGGTGCATGCACATTCAGAAATGAGACCAGGCTATGATCCAGTTAAAATGTCTACTATTAAAACTGCCTGCCTGTTAAAACTACTGAGAGAAACTGGCTTGGTAAACTTTGGGTTGATATTGGTGGATGAGATAAGATTTTGTCCTCCATTGGCCCCAAGGACAGTTCTTTTCACAACTATCTATTTCTTCTTGATCTGTCTTTCATTATGAAGACTACAATGAATGGGAAAATTGTCTCAGCTCATGTACACTTTCTAACAATTCTCTTGTGCCTGAAAATCTAAGACAACATATAATTAAAGAAATATAATGTGCCCTTAAAGGACACAATTAAAGCTAAGCCATGCTGAAAATAGAAGAACTCCATGGGATTGACCTACATTTAAACAGTACGTTTGCAGCTTTTTCAAAATTTAACAGGTAAATGAAGCCAAAAGACAAGTTACTGCATTTTTTTCAATAAAAAAGAGGTAGATACTGTATGCTAATAGGTATAAATATCTAAAGCATACCTTGCTTTAGATATAAGAAGGAAATATTCTTAATTTCACTCATTATTATCCTACAGTAATTTTTATGTGGCATTCACCCAAAATTAGATATGTGCTTTTATAATGCAGCAACATGAAGTGAATCTAAAGTTATATCAGGGCAGAATTGCTTCCATCTATAAATTCCACTAGAAATTTTGTGTTCTATGAACACAGTGATATTATTTTCTTCTGAACCATTATTAGCAGTTTTTTTTTCCAAAATTGAAAATGGCTATTTCTGTGGTAAGTTCAAAATTATTGTGTTATAAAAGTGCAAATAATGCCACTTTCTAATTTTAGAAAATAACTGTATAAAGTGACAACTAAGGGTAGTCATACTAATATTTAAATATGGCCTTAAACATCTGAATAAAAATTATTATAGAAGTGATATTTATTTTTAAATTTGTTCCTTACTATGTTTATAATAGATTTCCCCCCTTTTACAACTGCAGTAGATGTTTACTTTATTGATTTATAAAACTACCACTCTCTTGAGTCCTCTGACATTTTCATTTATAATATATACCCACAACCTTGAGATTCCTTTTCTTGCCAATTCTTGATAGTTATAACATTTTGGATACATTTTATTATCCTAGTTAATATGTCTTTTTTCTCTGAACCGATTCCCTCCCTTTTCTATTTACTAACAGTTCCTCTGGAGGACAGGGAAGACCCAGACTAACTTCTGAAGATAAATGTAGCCCTGAGGGCTAGAGGTTAGCTTTAACAACTTGCTAACTTTCTAGTTTAAAACCATTTTCTTTTTTGCAGATTATTTTAAACTTATTATCACAATAAAAAGAGTATTTTGCACATTCTTATACATGGTGCGAGACAGGGAATTAATTTCCTTCTTAAAATATAAGAAAGTGAGGTCATTCTGTGATGGGCCTTCAAAATAAAGCATTTTTCTCCTACATAGTGAATTACATAGTTTTAATTACCACAAGATATTGTGATGACTCACAACCCAAGTTCCTTGTAAGTTTCTATAAAGAACATTATACAAATAAAGAGTAGCTGTAATCACTGAACAACACCTCCAAGTATCTGTGGCATAATGCTCAAATGTACCAATTGCTGAAGAATACAGGAAGATAGTTATTTCTGCAAACATCAAGTTAAGCACTGTGGGAAAGAGGATACTGGGATAGAAACACTTAGATCTAATTCAGCCAGGTTACTCTTCTATTCGAAGCAATATTTTGAGAAATGTAGTTGCCATAACAACCTCTTTTTAATATTACCAATGAAACTAGAATTCATGTACAATCACATCAACAATGCTCTTATTTCTAATACTCTTCTGTCAGTATAATCTCATAATCAATATATACTGGTATATAAACCATAAGAACTGGAAGCAGGATGTAAATTAGAAAGTAAATTGGACTGCTAAAATATACTGCACTACAGAACAATGAACGTATTTAAGAGAACATTCTCGCTGAACAAGGAGTTACAGCCACAACAATTTATTACAAATGAATTAGTGTGTCAGTTTCTTTATTAAAGAGTCCTCCATCTCAGCACTTTTTTTCTTCCCAAAAGCTGATGGGGAAAGTAATAAATTATCTAGTTAGTGGCCAAATGCTCATCTTTACTTCAAAATACAAGTTAGTCTAGTCATTAACACATTACTTAGAAGTAGTTCTACTGACAGAAAATAAACATCCCTAAGACAATAGTCACACACAAAAAAGGCAAAAAAAAAAAAAAAGACTGACACATCTTTCCCAACAGCCTTCTGGAAATTATACACAAGTAATTAGCAGACATTCTCTGCAGAAACAAACAAGCAAGCAAGCAAGCAAACAAACATAAACCTCCAGAGAGGAAGTGGTAAATACCTTCTCATTCACTCATGATCTTCCTTTAAATAGCCTACCTCCCTAATGAATGAAGTGGAGAGTACTTGAGCATCTGGACTACTTGAGAGGAAGATAATAGAAAAACAGCTGTTTGTGAAGGAACATCCTTCTGAATGTTAAGCTTGTTTAAAAACTGCTCAAGAGTGAAAAAAAAAACCTGTTATTGTAAAATGGGCAACAGAAATACAGAGATAATTTTTAAGCCTATTACTCTTTTGAAAATAACAGCAAAATCAATATGGATGTGGAATTTTGTTGAGGGAACTCTATTTAGGATGCAATCTATTTAGGATGGCTATTTTCTTAGAAAAGACATTATGTCCAAGCATTAGCAAGTTTCTAATATCATACATTTGATAAGCAACATTTAAAGGAATTTGATGGCTCAGGTTCAAAACCTTCATATAACATCAGAATAAACTGTGGAAATAGAAACAGGGTTCACCAACAGATTTGATAATATTTTTATTTCTTAGAAATTTATGAGATAGGAGGTATATCATCAAGACTGCAACCATAGTTGGGGACTAAGAATCAAATTAATGACAGTTGCAAGGCAAGTTCTGATAGTGATTGGTGAGTAGCTTTAATGTCTTCCATGAAAAATCAATACATTAAAATATGTTAATTACAAACTCAATTATCTTTCACTGTATATTATAATTGGGCTTGAAGTTATCTCACCTTCAGGTGCATCGGCATCACAGTCTTTGGCTACATATGTTGTTTCATTGTTCAAATGTCCTTCAAATGTTTTATTATTCTACACAAAGAAGACATTAATTGACGGTTATTTCATAGTACATGTAAAATACCAATGCCATTCACACATCATGCATTTTACTTGGCACAACAAGCATCATGAGCCTTTTTTCTTTAAAAAGAGATACAGGTAGTCCTCAACTTACAGCAGTTGATTTAGTGACCGTTCAAAGTTACAACAGCAATGAAAAAAGTGACTTATGACCATTTTCCACACTTATGACCATTGCAGCATCCTCATGGTCATTTGATCAAAATTCAGATTCTTGGCAACTTACTCCTATTTATGACAGTTGCAATATCCAGGGGGTCATGTTTTGTGATCTTTTGCGACCTTCAGACAAAGTCAATGGGTAAACCAGTTTCAGTTAACAATTATTACTAACTTACCAACTGCAGTGATTCATTTAACAACAGTGGCAAGAAAAGTCGTAAAATGGGGCAAAACTCACTTAACAAATGTTTCACTTAGCAACAGAAATTTTAGCTGTAATCAAGCACTACTGTATTTGAATAATATGCAGAAAAATTACATTTAAATCCTTTACTATTTGAAATGCAAGCAGTTTTGTTAACAATATCTGAACTGTTTTGATAACTTTCCATCATCTGAAAAACTGATAACTGCAATCTGTTATCAAGGTCAAATTCCTACCAAGGAACTTAAGGAATGAGATCTGGGGGAAAATGATATTGCTAGAAAACATGAAAAGATAAAAGGGAATGAGATAAAAGAGTATAGAAAAAAAATGGCCACGTCATCAAGGAATGATTGAAAATGCTTAGGAAAATAAGTCTATTTTGAATAACATGACATTTGTAACAGATTTATAAGCTTTGTAATACTGTGACCCTCCGAAAATATAAAAGTATAAAATAAAATCATATCCAAAGACCCTCCCTCAAGAATAAAAGTAAAGAATTCATTAAGGCTAGGCCTGGACAAAAAATAAATATCACTTATACACTCCGTAGGAACAAGTACAAGTCCTATATGAAATCTACTTGGAACACATTAAAACATACATGCAATCAGACCCAAGGGCCACTGAAATAAAACTGTTTTGGGGCCCTTCCTGTAGAATGGGAACACCTATGGGGCAACTATGATCCAAAAGGGCGGGTCACAATCCCCTAGCCCAACCCCTCCAGATATCCTGTGGGGGGGAGTGTGGAATATGGACCAACCCCACCCTCAGTGTTAGGAAAATTTTAGGTACTGCTATGATATTGAAGGATCGAATTGGAAAAAAACAATGAAAAGGAAAAAGAAGAAAATAATTATATTCTGTCCTTCGTATTATGAAATTACCACTATAATGCTTAAATTATTACATAATGGAACACTAGATTTATTACTTGAATTTATGTTCAACATAACACAAAAAAGTGTTTATTTCAAAATGCATGATAGCTGACTGCAAAGTTCCAAAATCTTACCGTAATTAGATACTTTTGACTCCCATACATAACATATTGAGGGGCTAAACTGTAGATCATATAGCTGGTGTGAAGAACAATCAACAGAAGTATCATACAAAGAAAGAGAAGGGCTTGAGGTCGTGTCCTCCCCCGTCTGATCTTGTACAGCTAAAATTTTAAAATACGTACTTATATTAACACATTATGAGTTAGTTTTTGACATTAAAATAAGAAGACTCTCAGAGTGTAATTTAAATAGGCTATCTATCCTTTCATTTGCAATTTCTGCTCCAAATTTTGAAGAATTACAGGAGTTTACTATTCCATACAAACAAAGTATTGGAGGTGAATGGATGCTTTAACTCAAGGGTCTCCAACATGGCAAATGTGGGTGGGGAATTCTGGGAGCTGAAGTCCACAAGTCTTAGAATTGCCAACTTTGGAGACCTGGTTTAACTTATCTAAATATGCAATCATGTTAAAACATACCAATCTATAGGAAACTGGGTTATGCCAAACCAAACTATGAGTACGTCTACCCTAGTGTTATATATTCCCATTCTTTTCTACATTGCACATTATCCCATGTACTTAACAGCAAAGGACCAAACAAGGACAGGAAACAGAAGCAGCGAAGAAAGAGAAAAGAAGAGAGAGAACTACAGCAAATGAATGAAATATCTGGAATATGTCTTGAAATCTTATGCTTGGGTGATGTGGATTCCACCAGGGGATTAAACTAAATGCTACTCATCCTTTCTGTGGAGCTTATAGTTTGAAAGGCACTTAAAATCATCTAGTCTCTTCTTCTGTTTTTTTAAATCTTTGTAAGCTGCTCAGCGTCACTTATTTGAGATAGGTGGCTTTATAAATCATATAAATAAATGAAGAACAGTCCAATTTCTGCAAAACGCTGTTGCTACAGCATTCAGTATTTGACGAACCACTTCTAGAAAATAAGTGTCCATCGTTTTAAAGCATTTGTCCCCATGGGAATCAGCCCACCAGATAGTTTTACTGATAATCCAATTTCCTGAAATATGCATATCTTGTTACTGGTTTTAAAACAGAGGTCCTTAACTTTTCATGCCATGGACCCCATTGAGAATCTGGTGAAACCTATGGATACTTTCCTAGAAAAATGTATTTAAATGCACAAATAAAATATATAGATTGTATGTATAAAATGTATAATATAAGTAATACAGGTAGTCCTTGTCTTACAACCATTCATTTAGTGACTGCTCAAAGTTACAACAGCACTGAAAAAGTGACTTCTGACCATTTTTCACACTTACGACCATTGCAGCATCCCCATGGTCATGTGATCAAAATTTAGATGCTTGGCAACTGGTTCATATTTATGAAAGTTGCAGTGTCCTGGGGTCATGTGATCAGCTTTTGTGACCTTCTGACAAACAAAGTCAATGGGAAAGCCAGGTTCACTTAATAACTGTGGCAAAAAAGGTGATAAAATGAAGCAAAATTCACTTAACAACTGTCTTACTTAGCAACAGAAATTTGGTGCTCAGTTGTGGTTATAAGTTGAGGACTACCTGTTTATGTGAAAATTCATTTATATTTTTTTCCTCGTCCAAATTTATGGATTCCGTGAAATCTATCCATAGACTCCTGTACCCCGTAGGGGACATTAACTACAGATTTAGAGTGGCTCTAGGACTAAAAAAAAAACCCGATGTACTATCTCATCTATGTTTTAAACTTTCAAATACTTGAAAACAAAACTGATGACAATAGCTAAGAAATATTTCTTTTAGATCAGGGACTGAGAAAACCGCTTAGAGCAGCGGTTCTCAACCTGGGGGTCGCGACCCCTTTGGGGGTCGAACGACCATTTCACAGAGGTCGCCAAAGCCCTCTCTCGCCCCCCCACGGCTTCACTCACCCTCACTCTCTGCTCTGTTGGATCGCCGGCTGTTCGTTTACCCCGCCCACTCCCAATCTATTGCTGCCTCCGATGGCTAGAGGAAAAAAAACGGTTTAAATTTTTGCCGCGGGGCTTCAAAGGGCCGCCCTAGAGCCAGTGGTGCAGCCGAACCCTTTGTTAAATTGCTGGCTTGCCCCGCCCCTCCGCACCACTATTTATTGCCAATTAATAGTGGTGGGCGAGGGGCGAGGGAGCCAGCAATTTAACAAATGGTTCAGTGTTTTTTTTTAATTTTATTCGCCCGCGGAGCTTCAGCATAGGCTAATTAGCCCTTGCTTTGATTGGCTCCCGACCCCCAGCTGATTTGCTCTCAGCTGTTTTGCATGGAAATAATTGGAATATTCATGTTCATATTGATTAATATACAAAAAAGATAGTTATATAACTAATTGATTTATATTAAAATATTGAATTGTATTAAACAACTGTATTACATAATTAACCAATGTGAGGATGGATATGAAAATAGATGACAATGAGAAAGGGTATAATATAGAATAGAAGGGAAAAATTGAATTTGATTCAGATTAGAGATGAGGATGAAGGGTAATATTGTTTTTTTTAAAAAATAGATGAGGAATAAATATGGCAAAAAGGAAATATAGAAATTGTAAATTTAATTGAAATGACTAAACACTGTTTAAATTTATGAACCGGCCAAATACTCTGTTCAAAGAAAATACATTGTATGTTTGTATGTGTGTTTCTAATTATTGTTATTTATTCATATTTGTTCTCTTTTATTCTTTAAAGTTTAACAATTCATTCTTTATCTTAATATCTTTATATTTGTTTGGGGTTGGCTTTCTTCCCTTTCATCTTTTTTTATGGTACAGCAATCTTTCTCCTCAAACCTACCACCTCTCTCTTTTCTTTCCTTCTTACTTTCTCTTCCTCCCCCTCTTCTTCTCCTCCCTGCTTCCTCTTCCTTTCTCCTCCTCCTCCTCTCTTCCTCCCTCTCTTACCCTCACTCCTACTCTAATTTCCCTTCCCTTCCTTCATCCCTCTCTATTGCTGTATCCTTTTATGCATATGGACTACTCAGAGGGCTGAAAAAGTTATTTCTGACTGGTCCTCACATTTTACGTTTTTGCCCTATCTTGTCACCATGGTGAAGAGAAGCAGTTGTGAAATGAGTGACACATTGTTAAGAATGCTACAATGGGCATAAATGATGATCAGTCATAAGTGCGAAGACCGGTCAAAAGTGCGAGGACCTGTCAGAAATCACTTTTTTCAGCCCTCTGGGTAGTCCTTTTGTGCACATGGACTACTCAGAGGGCCGAAAAAGTTATTTTTGACTGGTCCTCGCACTTTTGACCAGTCCTCGAACTTATGACTGTCCTCACATTTTACGTTTTTGCCCTATCTTGTCACCATGGTGAAGAGAAGCAGTTGTGAAATGAGTGACATGGTTGTTAAGAATGCTGCACGGGCATAAATGTGAGGATGGTCATAAGTGTGAGGACCAGTCAAAAGTGCGAGGACCTGTCAGAAATGACTTTTTTCAGCCCTCTGAGTAGTCCCTATACACATAGCCATGGCCACCCGGTCACATGACCAGCTAGCCACGCCCACCCAGTCACATGACCTCCAAGCCATGCCCACAAAATAAGCCACGCCCACAGAACCGGTAATAAAAAAATTTAGAACCCACCCCTGGTTGGGGGTCACCACAACATGAGGAACTGTATTAAAGGGTCGCGGCATTAGGAAGGTTGAGAACCACTGGCTTAGAGAGAGCTGTAAAGCATTATGAAGCAGTACATAAGTCTATGAAGCAGTTGTTTCTTTTAAAGAAAATCAGCATATAAACATTCAATTTCTAACAAGCGTCCATTTTCAAAGCAGCCCTGCTTAAGTAAAAACATATATTTAATAAAATTAAAAATGTTAAAAATTAAAATACCCTGTATACGCTTTAAAACTGAATCCATACTAATTGCATATTATGAAATACAGTATGCTAAAATACTTTTAAAAATATTACTACTGCTAATACATGTTTTAAAATTAAGCATTTAAATATAACAAAATTGCCACCTAGTTATTGTGGACAAATTCCAAGGCATTAAATTTCAGAATGATTTCTGCATATATTGACTGGATGTGAAGTGAAATGATTTATATGAGCTGATATAAAAGCTGATATAAAAGCTAAAATAGGTATTTATTTTAATATTATATGTAAAACAAAGCTTTCCGCATATTTTCTAATATGTATTTGTGATGTTTTATTTATTTGTCTAGCATACTAAATTACTTGGAAAGTGAGTGAAAGATACAATAAAGGTTACCCTTATCCAGAAGAACCATATACCCATATTGCGAATTCCAGCCATTGAAGTAAATATGAAGTACATGATGATGGTGGTAATAAGAATATAATCTAAGGGAAACACCTAGAAGATAAATGCACTATATTTATACATCAGGAAAATTTCTCACTCTTCAGCTATAAAATTTTAAGGAAAACCCAAGCAATAAAATTACTTAATAATATATTAATAAATTAATATGTTAATAAAATGTTACTAAATCCAATATATTCAACAATAAGAAAATGACAGAAAGTAGTATTTTATCCAAATTTTGACAATATTAATATCAAAATAATTAATAGACTTAAATAGGTTATTAAACAGTCAGAGTTGAAGTGTCCTCCCAAAAACTCTTCTGCGCTCAATATTCAGTTTATCGAAAGATAGCATTAACAGCCCCCTTAGTGAATGCTATAGGATCAAGAGATTCCCTGCTCCAAAATATGGATAAATAGCAACCTAATTTCAGGTCACAAATAGATTGGAAGCTATTTGCATGATAAAAAAAACCCCATACTGGCAAGATACAATCCAGTTAGAACAATTTAGTTTATTATATTTAATTTGTGATATTCTCCACCAATAATAGTTTGAGTAGTTTTCAAAAGATAACTCTTATTTATTGGAATCAGAGTTTTCATTTTCTATCAATCATTGTCAAAAATGTACATACCCTGTTTTCCCCAAAATAAGACATCCCCTGATAATAAGCCCAATCGGGCTTTTAAGTGCCAGCAAGAAGGCCAAGGACTTATTTCAGGGTTCAAAAAAATATAAGACAGGGTCTTATTTTCGGGGAAACACGGTACTATTTCATGTATATTATTATTTATTTATTTTTATTGAAAAGTTTTAGAATATTTTTACAAGCAAATTTCCCCCCCCTTCCTCCCCCCCTTCCCTTCTCCCTCCCCCCGTATATTATTAATATACATTATTTAATATTTCATTTGCTTATTTTTAAAACTTTTATTTTATTAGCATTTAAGTCCTTAACGTTCAGTAGAAGTGAGGTTTTACTTACGGTCTGTAGAATAGGCAACAGCATATTCAAAGGGTTAGTCAAATTAGTTCCCAGGATTATAAATCCAGAATTTATACCAGTAGAATGAAGTGCTTTATCCAAACTGTAAGAATTTAAGGCATAAATTGTTATTGCATGATTTTTTAATTAAAAAATTTACACTTTCAGTACATTTTCTGTATAAAGTACTTAAAAATAAAGATACCCATTGACATCAACATTTTAAAAATTATCTTATAACATTTTATAGTGATAATGATTAGGAACATAGCATTTTCTATTTTAAATTGTGCACAGATCAGGATTGATACTTGTATGTATCTTCTAACCAACTTATATATTCAGAAAATGTACCATTTTATTATAGAAAATTCAGGAGACTCATGAAGTAGACATTAATCTGATAATTATCACTCATGTTTATATTACTATGAACTGTTGTATTGTTGGAAGTTCTCCAGGCTTGATTTTGGAATTGTTAATAACATTTCATTACCCCACTAGGAAATATCATTGTACAGGAGTTGTGGAAAAGTGCTGATTCCCTGACAACCAAAACCCTCTCTCCAAAACTCCTGAATTGATGATGTTACTAAGTAGGATAATGAAACATCACCACTTACTACACATATCTGCTGTAATGGCAATAAAATGAATTCCCTGTGAGTGCAGAATTTTATGGAAACCTTTTGCAAAACCAGAAATATATCTGGGGTTTTATTTTTAAATTCTATGTGTTATATGCCTTTTTTAATAGCCTCTGTTCTACTCTCAAAATATTATGTATTACAATTCACACTCCTCCACTAACATCCTATATATTTTTGCACATTTTGTCGCAGAAATCTGTTTTTTAAAATCCATATATTTTATAATATTAAAGGATGAATATAAGAGCCTTGAAAAGGAATTCCAGAAAGATCCACATAAGAAAGATGTAAAAATGAAAATGGACATGTTGAAACAAAATCCATGTATTTATGCATGTTCACAGTGCCAATAATTCAGGAATAATCCTCTAAAAACACTAGAGTCAGGAGAGACATAGACAGACTTTGTTTCTTCCTGTTTTAGGTTGCTCAAGTTTCATCTCATCCTTTCATATTAATATATATGAAATAGGGACGTACAAACTTGTTTGTAAGTATGTCTTCAAGTCAATGTCAACTCCTGACAACTAAATGGAGAAGTCCAGGCAGTTTTCCTGGCAAGATTATTTTGTCCTTGCCTTCTCCCTAAAGGGTAAGAGTGAGTGAGTGACCCCAAAGACACTCAGCTCGTTTTGTACCTAAATGGCTTTTATGCAAAAGATACAGATTTGAAAATGGAATGTTCCACAGAATTTCAACCTCTCTCCAGTCAATTCATAATCTCTTTCAGGCTATAGCTGAGGGTTGTTCAGCTATATCCAGAATAAATTTTCTAGTAGTTTGAAATGTCTCTAAATGAAGCAGGGGATGGGTCAACCCAGAGTATTTCAAGCCATTTATGGTCTACAGCATTTAGTTTCAGAAATTGGCAAAACACCACCAAAACAGAATAGTCCAGAATGAGAATGTGTCATTCCCATGATTTAAATACCGTATTTTCCGGCGTATAAGTCGACTTTTTAACACATGAAAATCTTCTCAAAAGTCGGGGTCATCGTATACGCCGGGTGTCATTCTCCTGTAACCAGGCAGACCGGCCCGAAGGGCTCTGACGAGCCTTAAATGACTCTGGCGATCCAAGCCCTGACGATCTGCTAATCAGGCAACTCAGTTGGGATCACCAGAGCCATGGAGAAGGGAAAAACTTTTCTCCTTTCACATGGCTCTGGCGATCCAAGCCCTGACGATCTGCTAATCAGGCAACTCAGCTGGGATCGCCAGAGCCATGGAGAAGGGAAAAACTTTTCTCCTTTCACATGGCTCTGACGATCCAAGCTCTGACGATCCGCTAATCAGGCAACTCAGTTGGGATCGCCAGAGCCATGGAGAAGGGAAAAAGTTTTCCCCCTCCAGCTTGCTTAGCTTAGCTGCTTGCCTTGCTTCGCTTGCCTGAATCCATTCCATCAGCAAGCAACTCCCTGCCTGCAATCAAGCAGGCAGGGAGTTGTGGACTTCAACTCCCAGAATTCCTCAGCCAGCAAAACAAAGCTGGCTGAGGAATTCTGGGAGTTGAAGTCTACAAGTCTTAAAGTTGCCAAGGTTGGAGACCCCTGTTCTATTGGGTAAGTTTTTTTCTCCTTTGGGATCTTTTAAAAAAATAGTTAATTGGGTTTTTTTTTAGTTGTTCTTTTTTAGACCTAGCCATTTAAAGTTTAGGAAGTTTTAAATTTAGCTTTCATATAAAAATAAAATAAAATAATATTTGTGCAGCTTTCTGAGATTTAGTACGTTTTTGTAGTGTTTCACTCTAACTACACAAACACACAAAATCTCACAAAGCTGTATGTGGAATTTTGTGTGTGTAAAGTGTGAAAGTTGTTTTTTTGGGCTTTTTGTGGCTGTGTGAGGTTCCTGCTTGTTTGCAGGGGCCATTTTGGGTCTAGCACAGCTGCTTTTACATTGTGGGTGAGCCAGTTGTGTTGTGTTGTGTTGTGTGTAATGTGTGAAAGTTGTTTTTTGTGGCTTTTTGTGGCTGTGTGAGGTTCCTGCTTGTTGCAGGGGCCATTTTGGGTCCAGCACAGCTGCTTTTACATTGTGGGTGAGCCAGCTGTGTTGTGTTGTGTTGTGTGTTGTGTGTGTTTAAAATGTGAAAGTTGTTTTTTGGGGCTTTTTGTGGCTGTGTGAGGTTCCTGCTTGTTGCAGGGGCCATTTTGGGTCTAGCACAGCTGCTTTTACATTGTGGGTGAGCCAGTTGATGTTTTTTAATTTTTATTTGGTGTGCGTTGGAAGAGGGGTAGTCTTATACGGCGAGTATAGCCCAACCCTATATTTTAACAAGAAAATTCGGGGGTCGTCTTATACGCCCAGTCGTCTTATACGCCAGAAAATACGGTAGGAGCTACAACAAATATTCAACAACAAATGAAGAAATAATGGTGATTATATTATCTCTATCAAGGCCTGTGTTTAAGCCATATAGTGTTTGTTGTAAAAGCAACAAAATAATTGTAAATATCAGTTCACAGAGCGATAAGGATATGGTTTCTAAATAGCTATTTGAATACTTTTCCATTATCTGTGAAAGCTACTTCCCCAGCAGTTCATCAGAAAGCCATTAAAAAGAAACTAAGAAAGTCTCCATCATAATATATTGGGAGATAAATTGGTTCTAAATTGAAAATAGTTACTTGCTGAGATTTCTGTATCCCTATCCCTTTCATCTCATGAAATCTTGTTAAAGCAGTGTGAGAGAATCTTATCTGGAAGAAATACTTTCAATATTTCAAGAAGCTTGCACCAAGGTAGGACATTAAGTTTTTTCTTCATGTGTTTACTGGAATGTATAAAGTATTTGAGAGAATATTAAAATATGCTGAGCACACTGGTCAACCACTTTACTTTCTGCAATATTCAGATGCTCAGGCAGAAAGGTCTGAAGAACTGTTTGCTTAAATTTGAATAGTACAGCCTTGCAATCAATTCATCTTTTGCTATGCAAACAGATGATTTACATTCAAATAAACATCCAAAGGTATTTTCAGTCTTCTGTGCTAAACAAGAGAATGGTGGGTACATGGCCCATGTTCTGTTCAATTTCAAGCTCACAGGTTTCTGGTTAATACCTAATAAGGACATTCACATCACTTATTGGCCTAAGTCTGCCTGAATGATTTTCAGCAGATACATTTTAAAATGAAAAGCACATGTTATATACTTACTTCGACAGGAAGAGAGAAATAGTGAACAGCAGGGCCACAAGTATAAAAAATATTCCCCATACAACCTAAAACACAAGTAAGTTTGAAAAACAGTTTAGCAGTCAATAATACATAGTTTGTTCTGCTATTAGTTAATGAGATAAATATGAGAAATTTGTTAGCGGGACATTTTCCCTCATAATTAAAAATGCAGCATCTACAGTATTTCCAAAGCCTCTGCTAATAACAGCAGAAGCTACTCTGAATTCTGCAACACATATTTGCCCATGGAAAACAGAACAAGAAAACTAGAAACATTACCTTTATAGAGTTTCAAGACCACAGTTGGAAATCAAGTTGCATAAGTTAACCTGAATTCCTCAATTCATTTTCCGAAAAAGAATTTTGTCCAAATATAGGTCAAATTAATTTGTACAGCTCATTATTTAGGGAAAGATCTGCTCAAATGAGAATGTATGTTTAAATCAGGGCTGTCAAACTTGATTTCATTGAGGGATGCATCAGGGTTGTTGTTGACCTTGGGGGGCCAGGGTGCGTATGACCAGTTTGACGTCACTTGTGTTGGGGGTGCCTGTGGTGGCCTGAGCACTCTGCCAGCGAAAACTGGCTCACGAGCTCCATTTTTGCTGGCAGAGACACCACGGGCTAGTCCATTGTGATTGTTGGACAGTCCCATGAGCCAGATCTAAGCACCCCGTGGGCTGGATCTGGCCCCCAGGCCTTGAGTTTGACACCCCTGGTTTAACTCTTTATAAAAAGTGGAGAAAACAACTAAAGCACATATTTATGTATATTTATTGATTACTCTAGCATGTGTAAACCATCTAGTCCATAAAGTCTTAGACAACAGATAAAGCACATAAATGCATGTTCATATGCGGTGCCATTTCCACAAGTGAGAAAAAATATTTTAGACATAATTGCTGCCTAGAGAACTGAGTTCATTTTTTTAGAAAAGAAATTCTTCTTTAAATAATTAAAGCAGTAAGATCAGAACTCAGAGCAAGGCTGGAATCTTAATGTGTCTGTACATGCTGCAAGAGAGAATTATATACATTTAAATAATTTGGAATAATGTATTATTCTGTAATATGATCCTACTTGAGTTTTAGAATTTTTTATTTAAAAGTAGACTCAATTTTATGATTCTCATTGTTCACAACAATATAAAGCCTATTTAAATACTGTACTTTGTTTACATTAAACCTGTTGGAGCTGTAAGATTGCCGCTAGTTAGCTATTAGTACATCATTACACCGTTATTTACAAATACTTGATTGAGTGCTAAACAAGTTTCAAAGTTTTGGAAAGACGTACATTTGATCTACATATTGTGAAGTAATCTTTATAAGCTACATATAACTTTCATTACAAAGAAATCATATCTTTATATCTTATACTACAAAGAAATTATTTTTATGACAAGATAAGACTTTTATGGTGGAAATTTAGTCCCAATATGAGAGTGAACTTTGCTATCTAACATGCCTATTACGAAGTAATGGTGTATTTTCAGCATCATTTGGATGCAATTCTTTTTATGGAAATGTAAAATCCCCAGTGCTTTAGCTTTTTGTTTCTACATTCTGTTGGTATCTTTTCTTTTTCCACATTCATACCCTGATGGTTTTCTAACACTAAATTGAATTTGTTGGTTATTTGTTCATCCTGCAAATCTGTTCACACATTTCTCCTCTTGTCTACCCGTTTTACATTGATCCATTATTTGTCCAATTGTAATAGTAACTTAAACCATAAATCTCTCTCCAATTTCAAAGTTAGTCTGTGCGCTTGCTAAATAGAATGTGACCCTATGGCACTACACAACAGAATGTGACCCTATGAGACTCTACTCCCAGCATATTTAATGGGAGCCATAGTTCCAAGTAAATCAACAAACAACAGAAGAATCAAACTGATGCGCGCTCTCATTTAAGACACTGTATTATAATTATCCCATTCTCCATATCTCGATTATAGCTACAGTTCTGAACCATGATATATTTTAAAAATTACACATGGAAATATAGCAAAAAGTTATCTATATATATTGTATATGTACTGATTTAGCCAGCTCAAAAGAATTCCTCCACACAATATGCTTTTTTGCATGACTTTTTTCATTATAAAATACTACAATTATTGAACATCCTAATTTAGCTTATAGTAATTCACCAAACTTCATTCTATTTCCTTATATTTAAAAAAGTGAATATTTTACAAAAATGAGGAGTTGGGTGTTGTTGGTTTTTTTTTTTTTTTGTAATTTTGCAAATTTGACAGTTGCCTAAATTTGAATTAGCAGATGCTATCTCTAGATCTGTCTTCTAAAGAATTATATCAGGGCTATGCAAAACATTTCAATGAATGGATTTGCATGAAGCAACAAGGCTCCCTTCTTGCTTCTAAGCAGCAATTCAGAGTGAGGCAAAGCATTCCAGCCCAGCTTTCTCACAGATGCCCAGCCAGCATCCAATGTCTTTTGCAATTGTTTATGTAAACATTTATGTTTTACAGAACAGTCAGTATTCACATTTATGAAATACGGTAGCTGGGATTAAACCTAAGGGGCTGAACTCCCCAGCAGGATTTTCAAACCATTATTACATTCTTCCATTTATTTTTACACTCAGTTTTCTTTCAAAACATTTTGTTGATTCATTTTAGTAGAAAAATATATTGCTTGCTGACACATCACACTCAAAGTATGTTTGGGCATGAGGTCTAAGCAATAGTTTAAAAAACAAAAAAAACCTTAAAAACAATGGTTCTGCTTTCTCTCAGGTTGTGGAACCAGTAAAACCATTCTGATCTTCTGACTCGAGTCTGTCTAAAATAACATGAACATTTTATGAGATATTGGTAGGACAGCAATATCTTTTGGTACAAACAGAAAGTTTTCTTATAATACAAAATGAGGGTCTTTACTTTTAGGGGTCTCATGGCACCACAGAATTTTGTCCAGCAGCTTTTCTCAACATATTCCAGACGCCGTCCTCTTTTGCGAAGGCTTCTTAGTTTGTCTTCAAGTTGTTGCAGCATTTGTCTGTCTCGAATTGGTAAAGGCCGACCATCTCTGCACTAGTAAGGAGAATTGTAAGAAAAGTACACATTTGTATATTAGTATTACAATCTTTTTGTTTAATTCCAATCATTACTTGTGAAAAATTAGTTCTAATTTCATTTCATTTCAGTTATTTTTTAAAAATCTTTTAAAAAACTAAGAACTCGTTTCTAAAGGGATGGGCTTTCCAATTTAAAAGTATTGTAAATAAATATGCCAAAATCTGAGAGTTTTATCTCTTTTAATACAAACTTCATTTAAACAAACAAAAACTTGTGGAATAAGCAGAATACAAATTAGTAATACAAAGAACCATATATACTAGAGTAGTAAATTTTAATAGTTATTGAAGTTATCAGCAAATTAGATACTTTATTGAGCTACTAAAAATGTGAATGAATGCAAATGAAATGAATGAATACATATTGTATTTTGAAATAATGAAATAAAATTCTACTTTAACATACATTGCATTTTTTAGGTGTCCAAAGTCCAAACTAATAATGAGTGAAAGTTAAATGATCTTAGAAAAAGCATGGAACTAAAGTCCTAAAAGTTAATGTTTCAAAGTAGCAGCAAACCTTTGTTTTAATTCTTTGAATATTTTGCTCAACATCTTCTATATCTTCAGTGTTTTCCAAGCGTTCGTAACTGGCATTTCTTGTGCCTTTTATAAGGTTTAGAGGCAAAGCAGACATACCATAAGCCTGGAAAAAAATGAAACAGAGCATTAACTGAACCAACATTTCTAAACGATCATCATAATTAGATCAAAATCAATATTTTAATTCTACTATCAAAATGTTCAGTCATATTCTTTTATGATCATTTTGTACCAAATACTCACAAAGCATAAAGACAGTTTCTGAACTCATCTCTCTTTACCAGGAAGAAGAGTAAAGTATAGGATACAGAATTCACCCAAAATACTGGTAAAAACATGGTTATGTAAAAAAATAAATAAACCTAACAAGAAGAGAGAAAATTAAATGGTCTACAATAATACAGTTATTTTGAATTTCTGTGCACTAATTACGATTGCATGCTTGTTTCTTTAAAGACCAATGAAAGAGGGAATATAGCAACCAAGTTCCTATAAACACAGGTGAACCCAACTGTAACTAATCTATACCTAAGATTCAAGGAAACAAAGTAAAAAAATATAATACCAGGTTCTTATTGCACACGTTACCAAATCTGAAAAGAAATAATAAAGTTTGAAAATAATCCTCGGACCTTCATCTTTATTGATTATGTGTCATCAAGTCATCTTCAACTCCTAACAATCACATGTACAGATTTTCTCCAAGATGAACTATCTCTAACCTCTTTTTTCAGGTCTCCCAAAGGTGCACTCATCATCACTGTAATTGAGTCCATTCATTTTGCTGCTGGTTGTCTTTTTTTCCCTCTTTCCTTCCATCTTCTACAAAATTAGAGACTTTTCCAGAGAGCTGAGTCTTCACATAATGTGCCAGATTATTTGAGCCTAGTCATGTATGCCTTGAATAAGAATTCTGGGTTGATTTATTTAGTGATCCATTGCTCTGTTTTCTTGACTGTCCATGGTATTCTCAGAAGTCTTCTCTAACACCAAAGTTCGAAAGCATCAATACACTTCCTATCTTGCTTCTTTAAAATCCAACTTTTGCTTAGATAGAGTGTCACAGGAAATATCATGGCTTGCACATTTTTCATCTTTGTAGGTACAGATAGAGCAGGGCTGAATATCTTTTCCAAGGTCTTCACGCATGCTCTACTGAGTGCTAGTCTATCCTTCACGTTTTCACTATCCAAGGAAGGTCATCAGCCCATCAAAAGGAAAAATAGTTCAACCTATCAAAAGCAGTACTGTGAGAGACAGAACAGGAACGCAGACCAAAAATAGACAAGGAATTGGTAACAGAACTCCGATCAACTTTGGGTGAGTTCAAATCTCTGGGACTGGATGATTTACATCCCAGGGTAGTGAAGGAGCTGGCAGATGTGCTCTCAGAACCACTGAATGAAATCTTTCAGAGCTCCTGGAGCACAGAGAAACTGCCAGGGAACTGGAAAAGAGCTGATGTGGTTCCAATCTTCAAAAAAGGGGGAAAGTGGATTGTGGAAACTACAGACAAATCATCTTGACATCAATACCTGGGAATATGCTGGAAAAGATAATCAAGCAGTGGATTTGTGAGCACTTAGAAATGAACAAGGTGGTAACTAGAAACATTCATGGGTTTGTTAGAAGTAAGTCATGCCAAATAAATCTTACTGCCTTCTTTGAGAATGTGACTAAATCAGTGGATCAAGCAAGTGCTATGGACATAGTATACTTCAATAAGGCATTTGATAAAGTAGACCACAGCCTACTTCTTGGTAAGATAGAACAGTGTGGGATAGACGGTACCACCACCAGATGGATTTGCAGTTGGCTGACCAACCATACTCAGAGTGTAGTGCTCAAGGTACTGCATTGAGCCTAGTGCTCTTCAACATCTTCATAAATGACCCAGACAAGGGGATTGAAGGGGCACTCATCAAATTTGTAAATTTGACACCAAGCTGGGGAGAATTGTTCACACTTTGGAAGATAAACTCAAGATTCAGAATGATCTTGACAACTTGGAGTATTGGTTGCCATGCAGTTCAGCAGTGAGATAAGATCTCGCATTTAGGCAAGAAAAAAACCAAATCCACAGGTACAGAATAGGCAGTACTTGGCTCAATAGAAGTGCCTGTCAGAGGGACTTAGGTGTCCTAATGGATCATGACTTAGGTATGAGTCAGCAGTGTGCTGCAGCTATCAAAAAGGCTAATGCAGTCCTAGGTTGCATCAACAGAGGGACAGCATCAAGATCACAGGAAGTGATAGTACCATTCTATTCTGCAGTTCTGGTCACAATACAAAAAAGATGCTGAGGCTCTAGAAAAAATGCAGAGAAGAGTAACAAAGATGATAAGGGTTGGAGGCTAAATCGCATGATGAACTGCTAAGGAAACTATGTATATTTAATCTAACAAAGAAAAGGCTCAGGGTGACATGATAGCCATCTTCCAATACATGAAGGGTTGTCACAGGAAAGAAGGGCTTGATTTATTCTCCATTGCCCATGAGAGCATGACAAGAAGCAATGGGTAGAAACTCCAACCTGGAACTAAAGAGGAATTGCTGACAATGAGAACATTTAATCAATGGCTCAACTCGTTCTCCAGGTTGCGCAGACCCTCAGGGCCCGGGCCTTCGGCTGATGTTGTGCAATGCCAGGTCCATAGTAAATAAAGCCCCCCTCATTTGTGATCTTGTTCAGGAGGGGGGAGCGGACCTGGCAGGTATTACGGAGACCTGGTTGGGCCTGGAGGGAGGGGTCCCTCTGGTAGAAATGTGCCCACCAGGCTTCCACGCATTCCATCAACCGAGGTCTCAGGGGAGGGGCGGGGGAGTAGCGGTTATTATTAGAGAAGATTTTAGGCCGAGGGAGGCCACTGTTCCTCAGACGGCCGGTTGTGAGACCCTCCTTGTGAAGTGGAGTCATGGGGTTCAGATGGGTTTGCTGATCACGTACCTGGCTCCCTGCCACGTGGCAGCAGCCCTGCCCGAGCTACTCAATGTTATCGCCGCGGTGGCGGTTGACACCCCCCCGACTTATGGTCATGGGGGATTTCAACCTGCCGTCCGTAGGTGAGACGTCTGAGGTGGCTCGGGAATTCATGGCTTCCATTACGGCTATGGATCTGACCCAGCTAATTCATGGCCCTACGCACATGGGGGGAAACACACTGGACTTGATTTTTGTCTCTGGACAGTGGCTGAGTGATCTCGAGATAGGGGACATAGTCATCGAGCCCTTGTCATGGTCGGATTACTCTCTCCTTCGCCTTGACCTTCGAACCGCTGCACCCCGCCGCAGGGAGGCGGAACCGATAAGATGGTACCGCCCCAGGTGCCTGATGGAACCTGATAGGTTCCAGATGGAGCTTGGGCCAATGCCTGAGGTCCTGGCTCATGCCTCGACTGGAGACTTAGTGGCCGCCTGGGATAGGGCGGCCGCTGGAGCTCTGGATTGAGTCGTGCCTTTGCGGCCTCTGACCCGGCGCCAATCTCAACTGGCTCCTTGGTTTACTGAGGAGCTGAGGGAAATGAAGCGCCGGAAAAGACGCCTAGAGAGTAGTTGGAGGGCCAGTCGCACTGAATCTGACCGGACACTGGTGAGATCTCATATTAAGAATTACCTAGTGGCGATAAAAGCAGCGAAATGCACTCATCTTGCTGCTCTTATTGCGTCATCAGATAACCGCCCGGCTGCCCTTAGGGTGACCCGCTCCCTGCTCCACCAGGAAGCGAGGGAGGACCCCTTGGAGGGAAGAGCCAAGGATTTTGTTCAGTATCTGTATGACAAAATCACTCAGATTCGGGAAGATCTGGACTCCGACTGGGTAGATCCAGCGGGGATGAAGGAGGCAGGTCCTGAGAATGTTATCTGGGATGAGTTTGATTCTGTGACCCCTGAGGACATGGACAGGATTCTGGGTAGACTGAATGCGACCACATGTTTGTTGGACCCGTGTCCCTCCTGGTTAGTGCTGGCTTCCCGGGAGGTGACGCGAGGCTGGCTCCAGGAGATTATAAATGCTTCATTGAGTGAGGGTGTCTTTCCCGCCGCCTTGAAAGAGGCGGTGGTGAGACCTCTCCTCAAGAAGCCTTCCCTGGACCCGGCAATATTGGCTAATTATCGTCCAGTCTCCAACCTTCGCTTTGTGGCGAAGGTTGTTGAGAGTGTGGTGGCACGACAGTTTCCCCGGTACCTGGATGAAACGACGTATCTAGATCCGTTCCAGTCGGGTTTCAGGCCTGGGTACAGCACGGAAACGGCATTGGTCGCGTTGGTGGATGATCTCTGGAGGGCTCGGGACAGAGGTTGTCCCTCTGTCCTGGTCCTATTAGATCTCTCAGCGGCTTTTGATACCATCGACCATGGTATCATGCTGCACCGGTTGGAAGGGTTGGGGGTGGGAGGCACCGTATTACGGTGGTTCTCCTCCTTTCTCTCCGACCGGTCGCAGTCTGTGTTGACAGGGGGGCAGAGGTCGACCCTGAGGCCCCTTATATGTGGGGTGCCACACGGATCGGTCCTCTCGCCCCTTTTGTTCAACATTTATGTGAAGCCGTTGGGCGAGATCATCCGTGGTCTCGGGGTGGAGTACCATCAGTACGCTGATGACACCCAGCTGTACATCTCCACCCCAGACCACCCCAACGATGCCCTTGAAGTAATGTCCCGGTGCCTGGAGGCTGTACGGATCTGGATGGGGAGAAACAGGCTCAGACTCAACCCATCCAAGACCGAGTGGCTGTGGTTTCCGACGTCCCGATATAGTCAGCTGGTGCCATCGCTGACTATTGGGGGCGAAGCATTGGCCCCCACGGAAAGGGCTCGCAACTTGGGCATCCTCCTGGATTCACGGCTGTCTTTAGAAGAGCAGTTGACGGCCGTGACCGGGAGGATTTTTCATCAGGTTCGCCTGATCCGCCAGTTGCGTCCCTTTCTGGATCGGGACTCGTTACGCACGGTCACTCATGCCCTCGTCACCTCCCGTCTGGACTATTGTAACGCTCTCTACATGGGGCTCCCCTTGAGGAGCACTCGGAGGCTCCAACTGGCGCAGAGTGCGGCCGCACGGGTGGTGATGGGAGCGACGTGGCGCTCCCATGTAACGCCTC